GTGTGTGTGTGTGTGTGTGTGTGTGTGTGTGTGTGTGTGTGTGTGTGTGTGTGTGTGTGTGTGTGTGTAAGGAATAAGTAGTGATAGGAATAAGTAGTCAAACAACGTTGTTTACTTTTATCTTTTGCTTTATCATTATATTTACAATAAATGTGGCATCTTTGCCTTATCCCTCTTAATAAGATCCTGCAGGTTTTTATTCTATCGGTAGAACAAATTCTTCAGTCTCCTGCCTCTGTTTGGTGCTCAGAATACATTCCTGGTCAGCCTCCGGAGGTGGGACCCGCCTGCGCCCAGCCTTGTAGCAGCTCGCCCATTGGCCGTCTCCTGTGCTCGTTGCCCGACTGCTCGGTAGTTTGCCCCTTTGGTTTTATCCACGTACTGGTTTATTTACCACCCCCTCCTGGGGAGAATCAGACCAGTTTCCCCCACACACACACCCCTCACCCCTGGCTGGGTGCAATTAGGAGTGAGTCCAGAGCTGGGAAACAAGGCCAGGCGCTGCTGAACGGTAGTCGTGAGTGGATGCACCGCTGTGGATAATAATGCCCGTCTCCGTAGGGTGAGCGCTGTTAAAACCAGCATGGCAGCAGTCCGGGCCCCGCAGCGCTTGCAATCTGAAGTAGACACAAGGCACATCACAACAGACTGGCCTTTTGATGCTGAAAGGCAAATGTTATAAACGGGAGCAAGGACAAGGCAACATGCCTGATGCTTCTGGATACAAACATGGCTTGTTACTGCTTTCAGTAGGTGACATGGACCAAAAGAATATGTAGTCAGTGGAAGCGTTACGGGATTTGGAACTCTTGTGACTTTATTACAAGTCTCTTGCTATTTGGTCCTTTACTAAAATCCCCACCTCCTAAAGTCATGTTATTTCGTGAGAGTCATAGAGATGTCAGGCAGGAAGGGGCCTTGTGAGTTCATAAGAATAAGAAAGAACTGCCATACTGGACACCAATGGTCCATCTAGCCCAGTAGCCTGTCTTCCGACAGTGGCCAATGCCAGGTGTTTCAAAGGGAATGAACAGAACGGGGCAATTATCCAGTGATCCAATCCCTATTGTGCAGTGCAGGTTTAGGGGCACCCAGAGCATGGGGTTGCGTCCCTGAGCATCCTGGCTAATAGCCATTGATGGACCTGTCCTACAGGAACTTACCTAATTCTCTTTTGAACCCTGTTATAGTTTTGGCTTTCACAACGTCCTCTGGCAAGGAGTTCCACAGGTTGACTGTGTATTGGGTGAAGAAATACTTCCTTTTATTTGTTTTAAAACTGCTGCCTATTCATTTCATTTGGTGACCCCTAGTTCTTGTGTTATGAGAAGGAATAAACAACACTTCCTTATTTACTTTCTCCAACCCAGTCATGATTTTATAGACCTCCATTGTATCCCCCGTTAGTCATCTCTTTTCCAAGCTAAAAAGTACCAGTCTTGACTGCCACTGCACATTGAGTGGATGTTGAGGGACAGGGTTCATCCCTCCCCACTCTCCAGTCCCCCACGTTTAGCATTTCAGCGCTGCCGAGAAGTTTCCCATTCAGCAGAGCTGACCGGTCCCCACCTCTGGCGTCCTCCAGCTGCGTCAGCTCTGCCAGCTCCTGCATGGGGCCTGAGTCGCTGGCCTGCTGGGACGGGGCGGCTCTGGCAGGGAAATCATGACGGCTGCCGAACGAGCGCACGTAGCGAGCAATATTCTTTATCTGCCATATCAACAGCGCCGCCACCATCACTGACCCCACCACCGGCACCACCACCACGGCAATACGGCTGGACCAAGATCCAGGCTCTGCAACCAACGACAGGAATTGCGGCATTAGCGGGAGAATTGGTCAAACCCAGCCGAAAACTTCCAGCCTCTCCACCGTGCTCAGCGTTCCACGCCGGCACACGCAAAAGGGATTTTCTGATTCAAGACACTCCACAGTCCCCAGCTAATCGTGGGTTTGCCAATTTTCCTGGGGCTCCGAGGCGCTACCGTAACACACCATGACTGGGGTGCTAGGCACCATATACTTTAGGTTAAGGTTCACTTGATAGCTGGTTTATAAGGTGTTCATACATGGTGAATATATGGTCTTGGCATGCTAAAGACACATGTAATGAGTGTGCTTGTCTACACAGGGCCTCTCAGGAAATCTAATCTGACTTTTAAAGTGAATTAGTTAAACAGCATTAAACCCCTGAGTGGATGCTCTCCTTCAAGATTAAAGCAGCCTGAATTCAATTTAGCTTAATTCACTTCCAAAGTGAATCAAATTCCGGCCACTTCAATTCTAAATAAGAGTGTCCACACGGGGGGGGTCAATGCGGTTTAGCGAATCCACTTTAAATTCAGCGCAAGTCTATACTACAAAATTAACTTGACCTAAGTTACGTCGACATACAGCAGGGCAGTAATTAAATTGCTTTTGCATGTCCACACTACGCCCCTTGTGTCAGCGGCTCATGTCCTCACCATGCCAGTGTGGGGCATTGTGAGACAGCGTCTGAAAGGCAGCAACAGGCGATGTCATTAGCACCCCGGCATCGATCTAACTGCATCCACCCAAGCACTACGCCTCGCGCGGAGCTGGAGTTATTCCGTCGGTTCAGCGGGCGAGTTCCACGGGTGGGAGTTGCCTTTCAGTGTAGACACTGACAGAGTTAGGGTGACGTACGCTGCCTTAGGTCCACCTAACGCTGTAGTGTAGACCAGAGCCTGCACTTCGACGTGATTCGGATTAATTTTCCTGAGTGGCCCTGTGTAGACAAACCCTGCAGCCACCATTCAACCCTTTCTTAAATTACTTCTCCATGGAACCTCAATATAAAGTGTCACCCAAGAAATCAAGTCGTAGTTGGGCATGGACGTGGGGTTGAGAGCCAAGCGGTCAGTACCTGGAGCTTCTGCCCCACCCTCTCTGCTCCATCGGCCAGTTAGGAGCCGAGCAGGACAATCTGCCGAGGACCCGGGCAGCAGCCAGAATTAGTTGAAGATCCCAGCAGTTGGGCAGCCCATTCCCAGCCCTGTTACTCACCCGCAGCTGCCGTCCCGCTGCTGACCAGGGCCACCTGGGATACCGGAGCTGAGGTTGGTGCAGGCTCTGGAATGAGACAACGCAGAGGCAGTTGCAGTGAGCGGATGCAGAGTCCCAGGAGGTCAGAGGAGAGGGGTCCCATCCCCTCCAATCCCTTAAAATCTGCCCCCCGCCCCAATGCCACTGCGCAGAGTCAGAGCAGGGTGGGGCCGAGAGGGAGCATCTGGCCCAGCCCCCGGTGCTGAGTCCAGACCAGTAACCCTAGATCCGCCCTGGCAGGGGGTTTGTCTGACCTGTTCTTAAAAACCTCCAGTGACAGGGATTCCCCAACCTCCCTTGGAAGCCTGTTCCAGAGCTTCACCAGCCCTAGGGTGAAAAACCTTTTCCTCCTGCAGAACCGAAACCTCCCTTGCTGCAGTTTATCATAGAAGATCAGGGTTGGAAGAGACCTCAGGAGGTTCTAGTCCAACCCCCTGCTCAAAGCAGGACCAACCCCAACTAAATCATCCCAGCCAGGGCTTGTCAAGCTGGGCCTTAAAAACCTCTAAGGAAGGAGATTCCACCACCTCCCTAGGTAACGCATTCCAGTGCTTCACCACCCTCCTAGGGAAATAGTGTTTCCTAATATCCAACCTAGACCTCCTCCACTGCAACTTGAGACCATTGCTCCTTGTTCTGTCATCTGCCACCACTGAGAACAGCCGAGCTCCATCCTCTTTGGAACCCCCCTTCAGGTAGCTGAAGGCTGCTATCAAATCCCCCCTCACTCTTCTCTTCTCCAGACTAAATAACCCCAGTTCCCTCAGCCTCTCCTCGTAAGTCATGTGCCCCAGCCCCCTAATCATTTTCGTTGCCCACTGCTGGACTCTCTCCAATTTGTCCACATCCCTTCTGTAGTGGGGGGCTCAAAACTGGACGCAATACTCCACAGGTGGCCTCACCAGTGTCGAACAGAGGGGAATAATCACTTCCCTCAATCTGCTGGCAATGCTCCTACTAATGCAGCCCAATATGCCGTTAGCCTTCTTGGCAACAAGGGCACACTGCTGACTCATATCCAGCTTCTCCTCCACTGTAATCCCCAGGTCCTTTTCTGCAGAACTGCTGCTTAGCCAGTCGGTCCCTAGTCTGTAGCAGTGAATGGGATTCTTCCATCCTAAGTGCAGGACTCTGCACTTATCCTTGTTGAACCTTATCAGATTTCTTTTGGCCCAATCCTCCAATTTGTCTAGGTCCCTCTGTATCCTATCCCTACTCTCCAGCGTATCTACCTCTCCCCCCAGCTTAGTGTCATCCACGAACTTGCTGAGGGTGCAAGTCTTCCCATCCTCCAGATCATTAATGAAGATGTTGAACAAAACCGGCCCCAGGGCCATCCTTAGGCAGACGCAACATATGCAGCTGTGTAGGGCACCTGAAAATTTGGGCCACCCCTGGATCTAAGTATCCACCTTCCGGGCTTTCCTATCCCTGTTCTGACCCTTCCTGCAGGCTCCCACAGCTGGCTGCTGCAGCCTGGTGAGTCTGCCTCGGGAGGGGATCTAGTAGTTAAAAGTGAAAAAGCCTCCAGCCTGCCAGCCCCGTTAGCACAGCATTGAAACGGTTCAAGAGCCATTCAAGGGGCAATGAAGCCATTTAACAGGCATTTGCCAAACCCCAGGTATCTACTGTCAGTTTCTGAACAAACACAGTTGTGCATCACCCTAATATTTACTCAGAACATGTCAGTCTACAGGACCTTAGTTTAAAATTTGCTTTAAAATATTTCATTAGTGAGTTGGTGAAGATTATAAAATCACATCTCTAAAAAATCCTTGCATAGATTTTTAGATGCACAATCCCCTTTAGCCTTAAATGCTTGGCTCTTCAGACATAGTTTTTTAAATAAATTCTTCAAAAGACCACCCTTATCTAAATACACATTTTAATTTTAATTACTATAGTTAAAAAAAACCCTGCTTCCAAAGTCTTCCTGTCCTTTCTGTTCATACCTTTCTCCCTTCACCGCCCTGTTGAAGAGAGCCCTTAAAGGGACAACATCCCTTTCCTTCCAGATAGCTGGACAAAGTTTCCCTTTCTTTACTTTGGACTATCTGATGAACTAGTTTTAAGCAAAATCAGTACCTTAGTAAGATGTAAAATCCTTTGTTATGCCTAAAATCTTTGGAAACATATTTTTTAAAGTTGGTGAAATTTCATAAACATGTCTATTGTTCTGGAGATCACACACAGTAAATGATGTCAAGTATCAGGGGGTAGCCGTGTTAGTCTGTATCTACAAAAACAACAAGGAGTCTGGTGGCACCTTAAAGACTAACAGATTTATTTGGGCATAAGCTTTCGTGAATAAGTAAGTATGCATCCGAAGAAGTGAGGTTTTTACTCACGAAAGCTTATGCCCAAATAAATCTGTTAGTCTTTAAGGTGCCACCAGACTCCTTGTTGACACAGTAAATGAGTGTTCCCTTTTTCTAAAAGCAATGAACATTATTATGAACACACTAAACCTCTGCCGTGAGGTGGGCTGGGCGTCTTGTTATCCTTTGCTGTCTCGTCCCTCCCCCCGGCCAGGCTGCGAGCTCAGGCTGCCGTCAGGCATAGGGGCACCAGTTTAATAATACTGCGTAGGGACCCATAAATCCTAAGGACGGCCCTGCCAGGATCGACCCTTGGGGCACTCCGCTTGAAACCGGCTGCCTACTAGACATGGAGCCGTTGATCACTACCCGTTGAGCCCGATGATCGAGCCAGCTTTCTATCCACCTTATAGTCCATTCATCCAGCCCTTACTTTTTTAACTTGCTGGCAAGAATACTGTGGGAGAGCGTATCAAAAGCTTTGCTAAAATCAAGGTATATCACATCCACCGCTTAAGCCCATTACTGCTTGTCCTAGCTTGAGTGGGACTGAACATATCTGCAGACTGTTCTCAGGTCCCACCTCAGTCTGCTTTTCTCAAGACTAAACATGCCCAGTGTTTTTAACCTTCCCTCCTAGGTCAGGTTCTCTAAACCTTTCATCATTTTTGTTGCTCTTCTCTGGATTCTCTCCAATTTGTCCACAACTTTCCTAAAGTGTCACACCCAGAACTGGACTCAGTCCTCCAGCTCAGACCTGACCAGTTCCCAGGAGAGCAGGACAATGACCTCCCGTGTCTTACATACAACAGTCCTGTAATACAGCCCAGAATAATATCAAACTTTTTAGCAACTGCATCACACCGGGGACTGCTATTCAATTTGTGGCCTGCCCTAACCCCCACCTCCTTTGCAGCTGTGCATACCCCAGGCCAGTTATTCCCCAGTTCAGAGCTAGGCATTGGATTTTCCCTTCCTAAGTAAGGCACTTTGCACTTGTCTCTACTACATTTCATCTGGCTGAACTCAGCCCAGTTCTCCAATTTGTCCACAACTTTCCTAAAGTGTCACACCCAGAACTGGACTCAGTCCTCCAGCTCAGACCTGACCAGTTCCCAGGAGAGCAGGAC